AGTTGGTCTTCGTGTTGCCTGAAGCTCAAAGGTGTTGGTTGGTGTTTGCCTACTTTGCTACTTCATGCCAGGCATATCCGCATATTGCGATCCTGTTCGCCTGCTGTGCGATCATCTTTGTGTTTCACACGGACGCCTCGGCATGACAAGAGTCAGGCAGCCTGTCAAGTTGCTTTTGAACATTGTTATTGATGGTAATTGCATACCCCAGACACTCCATGTATGCCATATATGCCTACATTGACCCCTCAAACCACCACAATGTAGGCATATATGGCAGTCCCATGTAGACGGCTCTGTGCGCTGTGGCAGCAACTCAAACATTCAGAGAACTCACCCTGTCACCGAACCGAACCTGCTCGTGGGTCGGATTTTCACCCTGCATCCAGGTCGGCGTCGTTTCGATGGACCGGACCGGACCGTGGGACGGGCCAAAGATCCGGAGCTCCGCCCCCCCAACACCAAGAACCTCCGACCCCAAGCTCTCAGGTCATCCAGGTCCCGATCCAGGTCCGAATCCGAGACTCAAAGCCGCTAATCTCCACATCTGGTGGATATAACACGCTGAAGAGTTCGGGACGACTCCCAGCTCTCCTGGCGAGACTAAAACCCCGAGGCTTCGGAGATGCGGCTTCGGCTGCGGAGATGCCAGGTCCGGATCCACCAATCCTCGAAGGTGGGGGCACCTTCTAAGGCCGGCCTCGCATGGTCTACCCAGCTTAGCATCGGAACCGACCACTTCTGGAGAAACGAGAAACTGCCTCTCTGCACCCAGAGCTTCAGTTTCTACGTCTTACGTCTTACCCTAAGCATCGGACCCGAACGACTTCGGGGTTTGGGCCCGAAATTCGGGGGGGCTGGACCCGAAAAAACACCGGCTGAGGGTCATTCTTAGGGTCATCCTTCTTCCTCTGCTGCTTCTTCTTCTTCTTAACTGACTTCTTCTTCTTCTCCTTCTTCTTCTTCTTCTTCTTGACCATGAAGATGGATCGGGTTCTGGTCAAAAGCCAGTACCCGAAGGCGGCGAAGGCGGCTATTGGCTATTGGGCTTTCTTAGCCCCACAAAAGCCCTCTGGGTGTATGAGAGGGGGAAGGGATGGATCGCGGGCGAAAAGACCACTGGCCTCGGGTAGACCCCGAGGACTACTACCCCATCATAAATAAACCAGTCATCCTTCAGCCTGCTTTTGATGCAGTTCGTTCTTGCAATCTTCCCATCCGCGAGCTTTGCGTTGTTAGGCCAAGGCTCCAGCAGGCGCCACCAAACAAGGCCTGTCCAATTTCACCATATGTATTTAGGGCCACTTGATCGATCTTAAAAGCGATTGCCAGTTGTAGAGCAACGTTCAGAAGCAAGAAAAGACCTCGATAGCGCAGCACGAAGTCCTACCTGTCGCTTGCCGTCTCTTGGAAGTAGGGTGCTACCGCTACCCTCACACCGTGTTCAAATATCTGTAAAACAAAAAAGGCTCATCCAAAAACCGGTGGTCAGGGATCTCTTCATGCAGCTTCATCCGGTTACGGCACGGTATGGCACAGTCCATCGGTGTGGGGGAAAAAACATCGATCAGAACAAGCATTAGCATGGATTCGCTGTCCAGAACCAGGACTGCGGGGGCAGTGGACTGGGGCCCTGCACTCCGGCTCGCGAGCCAAAACCCGTTCCTACTTCCAAACCTCTTAAACTGCAGATCACACTTCGGGCACGAGTGTCACGGAGCTAAAGGCGATTGAAATCGCCTCATTGGAGTTCTGGAGCTTTCGGTGCTCTTTTTCAAGCGGTCCCAGGAGCAAAGTGCAAGCGTGCTGATTGAAGCAGTCAATCCCAAGCTCTTGTGTGTCGAGGGCATCCGAACCGACAGCACCGGTCCCCAGGCCACGACATGGTCAAGCCCAAGCGAAAAAAAAATGGAAACCCTATATATACAGTAGGCTGTAATGACCGGTCCATGTTGAGATAGAAGCAAAATGAAGCAAATGTCAAATTCGGTGTTATAATTTGGGTATAACTGTATAACTGTATAACGGTATGACCATTTATATCAATAGCAGTGGATGATGATGGTTTAGTATGGAATAGGTTGCACGGCTTTACTCAAAAATCGTGATCTTACCGACTCGTAGAGACTCTCGACTCGGTCGAGGATTCCCTCCCTCTTCGAGGATTCCGGGACCCTCTTCGCACGGTGGCTGGTGTAGCCTAGGCACTCACCATGGTGTAGTCCGAACAACGTGGAGTGGATTCTTTGTCCTTCTCAACACGTTCCAATCGGTAGAACATCGGCGCCCACAAGGCATCCTGGCCGGATGAAAGACCAACGTCGGCGAAAGGAAAAGATCACCCAGCTCCAGACCAACAGAAGTTGGTCTGAACCCTCTATAGACTCTCCCATAGGTAATTACCCAGGTGAATGACGCGTCCTATTTACGTCTCTTCTCTCTTGGTAGGTGCTCCTCCGGCACCTTCCGCTTCGAACCCTGTGAACGTAGACCAGTCCGACACACGCCATTGAGAGGAGATGGCACTCCGGCGCCGAAGTCCGGTAGCTTCTAGAACTGCTGTTTGTAGACTCTTGATTCGTAAACCCACCGGATTGAAAAACCTCTTCCTAGGGGGGAGGTTATTAAGTGTCTACATGAGCGACGGCAGCCATGGGCCAGGGCAGCCATGGGTCCAAAACCCGGCCATGGAGGTTTTCATGCAAAGGCATGCGGGGTTCCACCGCGGACTGTGCCCATCTGCCCATCTTGACCAGTCCGTTTCCTGAAGTCTGAGTCTGAGAATGATCGCTTCAATGGGGTAAACCGTGACACCTCTGCGTTGTGCCTTCGACACGCCGCAACTTCGGCGACGTGGAGACTCCACCGAAGGGCTCTGCTACGGGTGGCTCCCAGAGATCAGTATCCCTAGGGCTCCTGGCCCACCTCCTGAGAAGATGGTTGGGGTGGGTTTGGGGGGTCTAACCACTCCTAGATATCTCTTGGAAGGCTATTTACAGACACCTCTTGGAAGGTCCTGGTAGATAATATATGGTGGAACTCTCCCAGTCCCCATGATGTTCACGTGGAGATGTCAGACACACCTCGACATGGTCGCTTGGCTTTTGGATAGAAGAAGGTCCCAATCAATTGGAAATCCGTCAAGCCTATCCTTCCCATCCCCATGGATCCACCACCTATGAAACCCCGCCGGGTAATGTCGTCTTCGAGCCTGTTTCTGGTCGAGGGTCCAGTTGTACATCGGGTGGATTTCTCGGGTTCAGAATCTGAACAGTAAGATTGCTCGGATGTCATCTTATTACGCTCAAGAGAAGCGGACTCGCCCGAACTCTGTGAGGGCGAAGACAGCTCGATAAGCGGACGCCGGTATATATATATATATAACTTGTTCTTAGTGTGTGAGCTCCTGCTTGGGGACCTTAGGTTGTTTATTCTCTGAGTTGGTGCATCCGCACGGGGGGATTGGTGTCTCTGGGTCTCCTGGTAGATGTCCGCGTCGGCGGGATCCACCTCGTGCGTGCCCCAAGAACTGTCATCCAAGCTGTCGCTGTCGCTGTCCACATCGACCAGTTGACTTTCCTATCGCAGGGATTCCGGAGACCAAGGGCACACCACCGACATCTCACGATGAAAGCGGAAGGGGATGCTTTCATGGCTCTTCGAAAAATGCTCCCATCTCTCTCCTGGGTGCACACGTTCTGGCAAGTTCTATAGAATGGGGAAACATCATGTCAGAAGCAATCTCTTAGGGATGAGGCTGACTCAGAAGCTTGTGTTCCAAGGTGAAGGGCACAAGAAAGTGGACAGAATCATCTACACAGGCATGCTAAAGGTAATTTTGCATGCATCCGAGCGCAGCTGCCATAGATTTGGGTTCAGTTCTGATCCTCAGCCAACTGACCAGGTCACAAAGAAACGTCTAAACAACTGGAGGGAGCGTCCTCCGAGTCCTCCATCAGAGCTTTGGCATCGGGCGCGCGCCCTAAGGCGCGCTTCCACCGCTTCACAATACGGCGGAACATCTGGCGCCACCGGCTGTTGCCTGCTGTGGATGCTGGATGGCTGCGAGGTCTTCGGTCTGCTGATTGCGGCCTTTGAGTGGATGTGCTGGAGAGAACAGTCTACCTGAGACCCCCCCCTAATAAAGCGGAAATAGACCAGTCTACGCAGCCAGGAGCAAAAAGGACGGACTCTTGGGTCAATCAAAAGACCAGAGGTGGGTCAGTCATGACCCGAACGTTCGATCTATCCCAGTTCGGTACCACCCTAGGGCTCCGAACGTCCCATATCCTCAGGTTCGGTGGTTAGACCCCCCTGGCACCCACCCCAACCATCTTCTCAGGAGGTGGTTGGAGCCCTAGGGCCAAAATCTTCGGCCGTCGCTCGATCCGTCGCGAGCGATAAGTGTACCGTACGCGCGGACGCCTCCCGGTCGGAGGGTGCCCGGTATCGGACGGCGGTGGAGGCGGTTGGTTCATATGCGGTCCGTGCGAGCTCGCTTTCATGGAGCGATTCTTGAAAGAAAGAGGAGAGAGAAAGAGAAAGAGAAAGAGAAAGAGAAAGAGAAAGAAAGATAGAGAGAGAGAATGAAGGTCTGTCAACCGTCGACTCTAAATGGCTTGAGTTACGCGTTCTCCCTTTGAAAAGAACACAGCAGGGACACGGGAGGGTCGGAGAGGAAGATGATCAAAAAAATGAACTAAAGCAGCCAAAAGGAAGTCTGAGTTCGTGTCAACCTATGTTCTGATTCAAAAAGAAAATCCAGCAGGTATCATCACCTACACTCTGACTATCATGTAGAATAATCCCATCACCTACACTCCTACGCATCAACATGGAAAGGGAAACTGACCTCTGGGAATGCTTACTTTCATCTACAAACAGAGGATGTTCCACACCCACGTTCTTGAGTGAATTGGAAGGTACAGTACCAATGCTGTGCGTTGAAGGAACAGCTACGTCTCACAAGCTGAGAAAAAAGCAACGCGAGCTGTCCGCTTTTCCAGCACGAGTCATCTGAACCACTTTGAAACAAAAGCCTAGGCTCAATTGGAGTAGGCTGGCAAAATACGGTGAAACGTTCCGGGCATAAAGCTGGAAACCACTGGAAACTTGTGCCATGTGGAGGGTATGTCTGATACTCCTCATGAGTGACTGGGCACAAATGGATCCTCTTGACACACCCACCAACTCCTCAGGTATTCTTCGGCTGTGGCTTCAATGGGTCAATCTCTGCACCAAACAGTTTCCTATCTTGTCATGTTTCTATCCGCTTCACTTCACTGAAGCCGCCATCCACTTCTGACCACCCAGTTTCGGCGGATCAGGACGTTGACACGAAGGAACTGGCATAGCAATCACCCGCAAAGTGGCAGAGGCATTCCATCCCCGTGCCAATGGCCGCCAGGCCTCTGCGATTGAAGTAGGACCAACCGGTCCATCCGGCCGTGGTGAACCTGGTCCGCTGCGTCTGCGCGAAGCGAACCCCCGAGGAGCTCGGGCGTCGAACTCACTCACCCTGATTCAGTTCGGTGGTGGGTGGGCGAAACGTTTGGGCTTCGGTGCGACCGAACAAACACACGCCGAGATGTGTTGAATGGTGCAGGCCCTGAACCAGGGGCCTTCCTGTTCGAAAATGGACTCAAAAACCACTGCTGGTCATCTACTGCATCAGGTCCCTGCTGCAGGAACCGTTCATATCCGTTCCGAGCCCGACCCATGTCTTGACGAGCAGAAGGCCATTGGTCTACCCATTGATCGACTGAATCCAAAGCGACTGAATCGAAGGGAGGGGCAACTGCAAACCTGGTAAAAAGATTCTTGAGCTGCTCTGTTCAGGTAAGTTGTAGTGGTAGTGGAGGAGAATATTAGTGGCAATGACATTGTACCACAATTATTGACAACTTTACTGTAGCTGCATCTCGTTGGAGGCAGCAAGGCTCTTCCGCATCAATTGTCTTGTATACATTCGCATTCGGTACACCAAAAAGCTTTACGACTTCCTATGCATTTTTTAGGTCCAAGGTAACGCTCGACTCTTCTTTCTTCGTATCGATTTGACGGACGTGAAAAAACTCTCCACCATGGAGCAATGCCACGGCCAAGAACAGATAAGGCTGCCAGGTTCCAGAGGAACTGGAGGGAACTTTGATCGCATCACACTGGTCCGTCACATGCTTCTCAAAGTTCTCCCCCAGGAAGGACGCGTGGATCATGTTGTCGACTTCAATCAAGAAGCACAAAGCCTAGATCAGTGATTCAGGAACACAAGTTGCAAAAATCCGATCAATACATATGAAATCATATGAATACACATGCGGTTCATGCAAACAAGGCAAACATTTCTTTAGCTTGGGCTTCTATAGTGAAAACATGAAAACACCTTTTCCAAGTACAGGACCTTTGCGCCCCAACAAGCCTCTAAGGTCTTCTTCGAAGTGTGCCAACATGTGCCTTTGGTGAACGGTTAGACTCCATCCATGACACCTTCCTTTGTCTCCACCGGAACATGTTGTTACGGAGAAAAACACAAAGGCGCGTTCGGAGCTGCCAAGCGACTGTACTGTTCAACACCTCAGTTTGTTAGGCAAAAAGGCACCAACAGGTACAGCTGTAAGTTTGTTTGCTCAGAGACAGTTTTCCGTGGGTATCCAAGTCGGGGTCGGGGTTTGCATCCAAGGCTAGCTAACCAACTTTCAATCCTCCTTACTCCTTGCAATGATCTGACACCGAGGCACAACTTGGTTGGTCACCAATGCAGGAACTAGCTAACCAACTACTAGTGCTTAGGCGACTGCTAGCCCGCGGTTTCCTTCGCAAAGACCACGAATTCTTCCTCTTCCTGTTCGGTCCTCCTGAACCGAGCTAAAGCTTCAACAACATGAACGGTCGTGTATACGGTCTGATGTGTATACGGTCTGATGTTGCCAAGACAAGTCCAACGAGGAAGGCACTCCAGCTGCGAACAAGGAATCCAATAGGTCCAGGTGTTCAGAACAGGCACTCCAACCCGCACAACGTTCACTCCGCCCAGTCCACCCCCGCGGCGCGCGGGGGAGGGTGCAAGGTTGACGGGCGACTGGGCTACTGGGTGTTGGCATTGTACGGTTTGATTGCCTTTCTCAAAAGCCTGCAGACACCGGGAAACTGAACATGGAACCTGATGGCATGGACCATTGGCGTGTGTAATAGGGAGGCGGCCCAACCAATTGGTTTTTCCTCATTGTCCTCTTTGGGAGGTCTCCCTATCTTAATGCACGCCCATTTGGAAGACAATATTCCTCTACAACCCAGAGGTTGTCAGGTTCCATGTGGACGCTCTCACCTGAGTTTCTGAAGGAACGCAGCAAAAAAGGTCAGAGCGCAGCGCTCGTGTGCGCTGCGCGCTCCTGCGCTCGTTCGCGCGGTGCGAGCTATTCCAGCCACCTTCTTCCTTCCGAGAGACCAGGTCCTGCAAGTTGTTAGTGGCGCTCAAGAAGCTTGCACCCACGGTCCTAGGCCAGGGTTCAAGCCAAACCCCTCCACTCACATGGAATCGATGGCAAACTGCCCCGAGCATCTATCGAAAACCAAACAAGGGGTGAACTCCACTTCCATGGTAGTTGCGGGGAGTGGCATTAAGCCCCAGGATCCTCTTTTTTTTCCAACTATATAAGTGGAGCCAAAGTAGAGCAAATCCGACCAGAAATCGACCTATTGGGCTCTCTGGCTGCCGGTATGATCGATCTGTCAGATGAGGAGAATGTGGAGCTAGAAGCAGTGGACGATCCAAACAAGAAACCCATGGTCCTCTTTTTGAAAAGTGTATCAATCGACCTCTGATCTAGGATGATGAGAGTAATAGCAGAAACATGTAAATGCAATCATCTGAGGAGTCTTTGTGCAGTGTATCTCCGATGATCTGGGACAAATGAAAGATGGTCAGACGAGCGGCGCTTCTTGATCTGTCAAATACGCAGGGAAGAAGAACCACAAGGCATGACTGGCCCCAATCTCAATATGTCTTTGCAGCTACTTGGATCTCCCGATGTGACGATGTGGGTTGAATGGTTATACAGTTATACATGACCACACCTGACTGTAGACATCCATGAGGTGGGGATACTACTGAACTATAGTCTATGGCTTCTGAACTCAACTGCAATGTTCAGGAAAGGCACTGAAATCATGATGACCTAGAACTCGTGTAATTAGGTGCATACCTTGAACCACGAACGAAAAGGCTTTTACTCTGAGGATCAAAATGACCACTGCGATCACAAGCCTTGGAAGAGCCACGCAGACTAAGCCAAAGATCTTGTGCATACCTTGCGGTGCAGAGCCACTCGGGGACCGGGACGGGAAACACATCTGGAAGAGCCACCCGGGGTGCCGTGAGCTGGTGAGCGGCTTTTCCTGGTCAACACGGACACACCCACGGTCCAACGAAAGCGAGGTACGTGCCCCTGGCCGGTGAACCGCCATGACCGGTCATCCCTTTTCGTCAAGAGCCTGGAACACTCAGACCCCGAAGTATTGGATTTGGGGACCTGACATCTTGAAAGGGTTCATGTGTCCCTAGGGCTGGCAAGTTCCTTCGTTTCGAAATGCTTCGAAGGTGGGACTGGGGTTTAGAGGGTCCAGTCATACCTTCAGAGGTGCCTGGAGCCGGTGTATTTTTAAGAGGGAGACCCTCTGGCCCTTGGTTCTGGCCCTGAGGTAGCCTGGTGAATTTCCCGAACAACCAGGTGGTCGGGAACGGCAGTCTGTCTCCCTGTTTGAGCTGGGCCGGGGTGATGGTCGGACAGCGTGACTGGTCACTTGGACATCAAAGTCTTCCAAAGAGTCTTGGAGGTGAGTATTGGAGGTCTTGGTACTTTGAAAGTGGCGGTCACTTATTGGTAATTGATTTGTTGATCTACATCCATCAGAGATCACCCTGAGAAACCTTACTTCCCCCGAGTCAAGATCGCGGGGTAGGTTCGGTGCCCACCGCGCTGTTTACCGGTCCGCGCTCGGGTCCGTGGCCGCACCCGGTCCCTGCGCGTCCTCTTCGACCCGAATTTCGCAGGGGCCAAACCCTCCAGAAGCGGTTGGTTCCAAGGATTCTTAGGAAAACAGGTTTGGGTCACTCCGGTGTCTCCCGGTCCTCGGGTCGCCTTCGTGTGTCCGATCCGCCTCCCGTGGCTTCTTTAGCGGGACGAACGAAGGCGCGAGGACCGAGGACCGCTCCGAGCGAGACCGACTTGCACCCCGTGACTTGGCATCTTCCTCACCAGGATCTTTCCATCCACCTGAAACGGACGATGACGGAGAGTTGCTGACATTTCTGGCGCAAACAAACAGCACGAGGACGGAATCGACTTTTTGTTTCTGTTCCGGTTGATGTCCAACATCTTCGAAATTGACCACTAATGAATGTTGACCCAAAGCTTTGAAGTCCACATAGATGTTTGCTTTTCGAAGTCCCTTGGTTGCCTGTTCTGTTGCTGGTCTCTGGATCCACTGGAAGCCTTTTGGTCTGTCAAGAATGGGTCGTGTACTCTTCAACTTCAAAGCTAGAGAAAGTCGATGTTCCGCAAATGTCAACTGGGCATAGAGTACTTCTGATGAGAAAACTGTAGGAACAAAATGCTTCTTCCTTTCAAACGGAGGACATCCTGTACGTCTTTCAACATCCGACAGGAATCTTGCATGGATAAAGTCGTGCCAGACCCCCAACGATTCCAAGAAGGGAGCAGGAGAACAGGGTTGAAAGGTGCCTGGCAAAGCAGAATGGCCCTTGTAACCAGCAAATGTACTTCTCTGACTGTGAGAACAGTGAGAACATCTGATTGTATTGTTTCTTTGGGGTTTGATCACCAGGCATACCTGGTCAGCATTATGAGAGGAGGATCTACAGTCCCCCAAACAAAAGGTCCTGCCCCCATGAGGCTTCAACGGATCTTTTCGTGTCTCTTTCAATTTGGAAACCTCTCAACCAGACCGCTGATATGCAGAAAATAGACCAATAAAATATTGATGCACAATTGAATGAAGAAAGCAAAACCCAAGATTCCACCGAGTTCGGTTGCAACAGGGCACCACAATGGGGAACCAATGGTAACCTGCAGGATCCGGTATGGATCCCTAATATCTGGGTAAGTATTTCACCAAGCCTGGTCTCTTTAGTCTTCCGCGCTTGCCACACCTAAGCAGGTAAGTGGGTGTCTCCTTTCGTCTTCCGAGTTTACGAGTCGGGTCTGACAGTCAGACCCGAGGAATTGACCTGGCCGAGGTCGGAAAACCTCACCTGGCCTGCCAGGGACCCGAACCAAATACCGCCTCCTTTTTTGAGTCTTAGAGGTTGTATGGCAGTCTAAGGAGTGTCCAAAAACCTGAGAACTGGGGGAGTCCTGGTGAAGGCACAGGGCTACCGCAGTCGTTTGGTCTCGGCTACGGCCCTTCAAGATGCAGTTTTCCCCACGGCGAAATGTGAGCAAAGGCGACGCCCAAGGTACCACAGAGGCAAAGTTCTCGTCATCATCGGTGGTGCTGGGCATGTACCAAACCACGTACATGAAATTGTAGATATATAGAAACCTGGCGGGTCCGGTCAGTGTTTCTTTCCCATGTTCTCAATATGTGAATCCATGGTCATGTTGAGGTCTTTTTGCGCGCGTCTCTCTTACGGCTCTTCCCCTAAAAGACCGTCCAAGTCATGTCCAAACAACCAACCACATGGGTCTGGGTCGTCATGTCGTAACTGGGTTTCCTCACTCTTTGATCATCAGCATGCCCCAAATGAAGAGCAGCAAGACCAGGAATGACACGAAGGTCGTCCCCAGGATCGAATCCGGCTCCCCCTTGTAGGTACTCACGGCTTCCTGTGGTCCGGAAGAAGCGGGGAACCATCGGGTGGTCTGTGGACATCCACCCGATGAAGAAAGCCGGTTTGCGAAGCAAACAATGTCGAGTCGACACATGAAAAAGACCAAACCTTTTTGAAGCTGCAAAACGAAAGCCAGCGTTTTTTACTTTCGAGTGTAATATTCCAGGGCTGGTTTTCGTCATATTCCAGTGCTGGTGAAATACCAGATGAAGCACTGAGCAAGACCATATATACCCACTGAGCAAACCAGGGCCCCTGAAGAGGTGGTTGATGGAGACTCTGAGACACCTGTAAGAGGCTATTTAGAGACACCTCTCGGGGGGGGTGGTACAAAACATCTGCGGAGAAGACCTCACTCAACACAAAAAGGTCGGATGCCGCTTCGCCGAGGCGTCGTAGACCGCCACATTGATGCCGCTCTTCCGTTCGAACTTGCTGTGACCACAGAGCTCGGAGGTCGCATAGTGAATCCACCTGTTTTTTTTATTTCGATTTCGGCCATGGATGTCTGTTGATTTGATGTGAACAATAACTTAATGCTTCTAAACAAAATTGAGATGTCCCTGAGTCCCAGAGATGTCAGGGGGGTTGTTCCACCATGCAGGCCACTGCGCCACCAGCACAGGGGCAGTCCATCGGGAGAGGATCAGGGAATATCAGGAAGAGGACGCCATGAAAAGTCATGACAAAGGACATAGACTGAGTCTCTAACTTTCGTGGCTGATTCGTGTTTGTGCTTTCCAACGACCACAATGAGCAAAAGGGATCTAGAAGCCAGACCACATGGACCTGTGGTGGCAGTGGTCTTGGTGGCTTTTCATTGACCCTCAGAATCATGGACCCGAAGAATCCGGGGGTTAGGTTTGGTTCGGGTCCAACCCCCTGCGAATTTGGGTCAACACCCTCCAGAAGCGGTTGGTTCCAAGGATTCTTAGGGTAGATTGCTTTTCGTCCAGTTGATTCTGGCCCAGCCACTCATAGTCGTTACCAAAGAGCTTCGTGCAGAAGGAGCCGAAGTTTTCGCGACACTCCTCGAATCGGACGCGTTGGCGGCGCCGCCGGCGCCGCTATACGAAGTCGTCTGAGCGGGCGGCAAATCGGTGGCTGGGAAGAGCCAGAGTCAAAGGCGGCAAATCGTGGAATGGATGGGGGAATCCATTGGACCTGGCAGCAGAGGGTGCTTCTGCCCAGCCAAGTGACTTATAAGTCTCAGGTCTTCTCTAAAAACTCTTGCGACAGCTGCGTGACCTGTTGTTTCCATAGTGTTTCCATTGCTGGAGGCGCTGCGATTTTGGGCACGCGTGGGAGATGGGCTGAACCTGAAAAAAGAAACCCCAAAGCCAAAGCCTAGGGTTGACCGAAGAACATCCTCAGAAAACCAAAAAGAACCTGCCGAGACCGCAGAGGCGAGAATTCCCCTGTAAAAAAAAGAGAAGACCACATAAGACAACAAGTCCTCCACCTGGCACCTGGTTCCTACACCATCTCTATCCATCCCTCACCCAGGTCCTCCACACGTTCTTGTCCATCATCCCGCTCAGGCAGCATCTTGGCCAACTTCCCGTCAGCCTCCAGGTTACCGCAGAGCTTCGGGTCAACTGGCAGACACATCTCGATCTTCCCTCGAAAGTGTTGGAAGAAATCCATGTCCTCAGGAGGAAAGAAGCGAACGTAGAAACAAGTGCATCGCTACGTTCGTAGCAAGTGCCTTACTAGTAGTAACAAGAAGCTTCTAGTAACAAGTGCCTCGCTAGTAGTAACAGGTGCCTTACTAGTAGTAACAAGAAGCTATCACTGGAGTCACGAAACGCTCCGGGTGCCCGGACGATAGGGTCCCCCATGGTGCCCCATGATCCGTGAAACGCCCCGATCGGATGGGAGTACCAACTCCGAGAACATTGAGCGTCATGTGTCACTCGATCCCGCAAAAGGAACTCTTTGACCAGAAAGGTCAACCTAACAACCTGGGGATGCTCTGTTTTCGGGAGGGCATGTGTTTTCTACTTAGAAGATGAGAAGATCTACGAGGTGATGCACTCTTGCAATCCGGCATTCAAACAAACCAGAATCTCCACATGGAAGCATGGTACGAGTAAGAACATTAGAAGCATGCATGTGATTCATATAATGTGCAAACAACTTTGTATCTTGCACCCTCCAATGGACCGTCACAGGGCCCCGGGACAACAACTTGTTGACCGGTTGTCGACAGGTTGCATAGAACCAAAAAATGAGCGCATGTCAAGCATGGATGCGAGCCATTCTGATGTTACCGCCGCAAGATGGAAACGGCGGGAACGTCGTTTCCGGCAACCCTCCTGTCAAACCAGTGGGTGTCCGTCAAAGTATATGGGTGTGCTTGGACAACATGGGGAGAGCCCATGAACCCCCCCAAACACAGCTGGTGTTAGAGGACAATACAGACGAAACATCCAGATCCAACCTGCTTGGGTCTCTGACGCTGCTGGGGAGTTTCAGCTTGCCCCAATATGGGGCATGGCAAGAAGCAAAGCCGCAAAAAACAGTGCTTGGCTGGTCTGTCTCCCCATTCCCCTTTTTGGCAGGAGGCGCACAAGACTCGGCCAGCGTCGCTAGCTGGTCTGTCTCCCTATTTGAGCTTACAAATCTTGCCCACTTAAATAGCCCCTCCTGCATGGGGTTCGGTCAGGTTCCGGGGGGTTAAATGGGGACAAAGATGGACAAAGCCAGTAATTTTGGAAACTAGTCTTCATCGGAGGGAGAGATGTTGAACAATCATGAACAAGCATCCAATTGATGCTTGCTGAGGTCACTCTTGGAGCCAGCACGGTGCTTCACATCGTACTTGGCCATATGCATCAAATTCTCTGTGAGATTTGCACCTCAACCAGGTGTCGTGAGGAAACGGCGCGAGCTCAACCCATGCATAAAGCCGGTTCCATGCCGATGGCGATGTGCTTCAAGAATCAATGCTGATTATACGCTCAAAAGGAGTGCATCAGAATTTTCACCGTCCTCCTGGACACTGGGTCGGCCAATGTCCCCTTTTCCACCCTTCCCCCCCACCAGCCGGGTGCTGAACGAACGGCACCCGACTGGGAACGAACCAATTTGGATCGGTCGGATCCCATGCGAACCAGGGAACCCATGCGGCTGCCTCTGTCATGAAGCTCCTTGCTCATTTTGTAGGCCTCATCCACTGACCAGTAGCCATCCTTGTTGAGATCCAGCTTGTCTGGAAGCATGGAGAGCGTCAAGAGAGGCTGGGTGCAGTCCTCAAAGCAACCCCACCGACCCCCTTCAGCGTGGCTGGACGAAGGGGTTGGGTGTCACGTCCCAAAACCCACAAGACACTGACGCCGATTTCTCAGAAATGTATGGAGGCGTAGCACAAACAGAATTCCATCTTCTCAGAATTCCACAAAGAACCATACATAGCACATCATAGCACATCAGAGCACCATGCTTAGACCATACATAGCACAATGCTTGGATCAAGAAAGTTAGCACTGATGCTCCAGACGCTCTGCTACGCGCTCCATCTGGGCGAGAGTGTTTAGTAGTTGTCCATTCACACGGAAATGCCAGTTGAACACATCAAACATCTGAAAGAAAGAAGAAATGGGGGGACATGCCCTTGGCATTAGTTCGATGGAAATTCTTTCAAATGCCTCGATTAGGCTCTACCCAATCACTTCCGGTGATCATCAATTGAATTAGCCCCAGATCTTGCAAAGAGAGATCAGGGTTTGTGACTTGCTGAATTCGTCATGAGGAAGGTGCTTCACCTTTGCCACTTGCCTCCCCATTCGGGGACGTTGACTCAACACTCCAGGGTCGTGCCACTCTGCTTTCCACTTCCCTCAAGCCTTGTGGCGTTCATCTCAAAGCACACAAACAAACACAAGGGGACCCTAGCTAGGCAAGGTATCTATGGAAGCAAATGCTTTGTCAGTGGCTGGCCTGGAAAAACCCTGTCAACTCTGTTCACCTCAGGCCGCTGTGGAAACGGCAGGGTTCTTCAGGGTGCTTTACAAAGGAAGCAAAGGGTCTGCCCACATAATCCCACATACCCAGCTCGATCTGCCCAGCTAGCTGCAAACTCTCAATTTTTCTCCTTCCAGGGACTACGGTTTACCCAACAAGTTGATGGTGGACCAAATGAAACAAACCTGCAGCATCAGATCATGATCCTCATGTTGGACATGAAATCCAGAAAGTCCTAACCCGACCATCAACCCGACCATGGACCATCAACGCGCCAAGTTTCAAAGTCTGAAGAATCTTTGAAGTCCTCAGGGTAGAGTAGTCCAACGAACTGCTGCGCAGCTGACACTCTCCTCAATCGAAGTTGCAGCAACGCGAGTCGACTCGCGCGAACGTCTGTCTGAGCAACGGGAAGTCGGAGCATCGGAGCTGTGTGTTAAAGAGGTCTCCCAAACAAGTTCTTCTTGCAAGAGGCACTTGCACCCAAATGAATTGACAGGGATTCAATCTAATGAGTGCTACGATGCTTTAAAACACAACACATCCCAAAGAAATGCGGTAGACACCGAAATTCGTTGGGAGTGTTTGTCACACGTGCTGCAAGAGCAATATATAAATATTAATAAGATTACACAACAAGTATAGGGAGCCTCTGGGCAAGCATTGGTCAGAGGCCAATGATGGCCAAGGAGAGGGTTTTGTATGGAAAATTTGCTCGAAGCGTCCAACAGGCCCCGTTAAATAAGGCGTGGCCCACTTCTCCATAGGTTCTCAGTGCGACCTGGTCGATCTTAAAGGCAATGGCCATTTGCAAGACTGCGTTGAGAAGCAGAAAGAGGCTCACCATCATATAATCCGAGAAGCGTGTTTGGCACGTCCTCTCCTTCTGAAAGCGCTCGTATTTGAAATACATCGGTCCAAAGAGGGCGTCCAGGTAGATATCCGCTTCTGAGGGGTCTAGCCGTCGGAAATGCCATTTCACATCCAGATCGTTTTCAGATGCAGCAGTGACCAGCGAGCTGTATGCTTCATCCACAGGTGCCTGGCCCACAGCCCTGGACAATCGATTCTTCATCGAGCTACGCGTCTGCGCGCCGTGCGAACCCGGCGAGCGCGCCGCGCAGAGCCTCCGCCGGGCACGGAGCGCACTGCCCGTCCTTCTTCGTGAACTTGAGCCGGAGGATGGCGATGGGACAGCCGATGCAAGGAAAAGTGAGAAAAAAGAACCATCAGGGGTGAAAAGCCAATCGTTTTACCGTAGGCCCTAGGATTCCATGCGGATTCCAAGTGCGCGGATTCCATGCGGAGCAGCAGTTTGGTGTTGATAGGAGGTTCTCGCCTGGTTCTCGCCTTGTGAAAGAGCCGAGACGTGCCTGGCGAGCTGTGTGCTGTCACGAGGGCATCGGGACTCGGACGCTACGAACGCTCTCCTGGCCTTACCACTATAGTAGAAAGAAGCTACGAACGGAGGGCATCGATATATACTAGTAACACGAATGCTACTAGTAGCAACTGTTTTGTGTTTTCATGTGTTTTCTTAAATGCCGTTGGCCCTTTGGTTTGGTGTTTCTGCGATCTTTTGCGCACAGAATATCACAGAATGGTTCTTTCGGTGCCTTCGTAAAACCGTTCAACCGTGTGCTGTGTAAGGGTTCCCACCTGTCGACCTGTCTAGAGGGTCTTGAACTGGTTTTTCGATGTAGGCCTCTAGGCATCTGCGAGAATGGGACGTTTTGAGCTTCCAAGTCTTCCAAGTTGGTGAACTCAGAGTAGATCAGCCATGTGCACCTGATGCTCAAAGCCACCTCCAAGCCATGCCATTGATGAACTTGGATCTTCGATTCATATGCTGCAGATCTTCAGTGCCCTGAACACCATGTACAAAGTTTTTTGCGGAAAGATGTCTTTAGAGAAGAGTTGGGTTTCAGGAATTTACGTGCCAAAGTGAGTCGAACTGAACTTTGGTGGGCCCTTCATCCCCTGGTCCTGCGCCTTGTCGCGCACAAAACCCACCGCACGGCCGGGGCGGCTGTGAAGTCGCGGAGTACCATCGCGACGGGAGGAAGAACAGGTTCACCTGGTTCACCGGTTGCCTGGTCTTGTTCCTGGTTCACCTGGCTCGGAGGAAACATCATGGAACATCCCCTTTTTCATGCAGTCCTGCCTTTGGCATCCCTGCCCAACTGGGCAGGTTCGGCGTTTTCGTGCGTGCCTCCAAGGACCGTTTTGGGTGGTGCTGGTGGTACCTGTGGTGAATATATGTCCAGACACTTCATGGGACTGACATGTTTACCTTCATAGGGGTGGTTTCAAGGGTCAATGAATGTATTATAGGCCAATAATCCATACATGGAGTGTCTGGGATGGATTCTTCTTGGTGTATGGACCTGGCAATCTCCTTTCCGGCCCGAGTCCAGTCGTTGCAGTCGCTGCTCGATACAAAACCACACCCTGCGAGGAATTCCCGTTACTGGATTCTGGGGATGACCTAAACCGCTAACTTCTTCGTGGTGTTTCCGTTGAGGACCATGATTCTTGGAAAACCGATTCATCTGAACACCGCATCCGCCGACTGATGTTTCGCAGAGCCAGACCTGCCAGTCCGGAGACATGCAAAGCGGTCTTCAGGACGCATGGGACCGTCTCCAAGACCCACGCTCCACCCACAAACATCAATTCCCCGGGGGTCACAAAGGGGTGGTGTTTAGTCCCTAAGTGATTGGTTAATGGGCACCCCTAACCCCTAACCTCCATGGATAGCACCCCTTTGAAACATCAATTCCAATTGGCTTTTCGTCTGCAAAGTGTGCTTTTTCCGCTTCTTCGAGCTGGATCCCCACGCCGAATCATTCATCCCACTCGCTGACCGAGGACCGGACTCGCTGAACCAATCGGGCTGACCCAAACAACGCGCCTTTCAGGAGGGGCCCAAGTTCTGGAAGAGACCAGAAACCTTCACAATGAACACCTGAGGATCCAAAGACCAACAAGTACAGACGAACGAGGTCGCTTCTTGGTGTACCCAAGAAAAGAACCTGAAAGCCCTCCTCTTCACGTGGAGACCCAGTAAAAAGACTGTATTTGTCAGTTCTTCATTCTTCTCAGAAGAAACCATACCAGTTTTGAAGTGGGTGGGTTGCCGCAGATACGTGGTCATCCGATTTTGGTCGGATGTCCGATCACTCCCTTGGTCCGGCGATGGAACACGGGGAATGGGCGGTGTCCTCCTACAAAAGCTATTTATACCTTGATCTATTTTCTAAAGCTAACGTATAATACCTAACTAAACAGTTAAAAGCTATTTATATCTTGGTCTTTAGTCTAAAGCTCCTTTTAACTAAACACGCAAATGCCGCTCTCTGAGTCTAGTCCGTTGGGAGTCGCATCCGACAGTCGTCGTCACTGGTGCTGTAGAACATGCTGTCTTCTGGAAAGCGCTGGGAATAGATCGGGAACCCGCATGCTGAACTTGGACACTCCTTTTTGGGACTGCGATCATCACGAGATTCACGGTGGAGCTCAATCACACCCTTGTATCAACAAAGGGTGAGGGGCATCCAGGGCGGCATCCAGGGCAGCATCCAGGTATCATCAGGAGCGCTGTGTTCCCACAAACGTTGCAGCCGCTCGTCGAAACTTCGATGGTCGAGTAAGCACACTTGGGATGCCGCCCAGGGAATGAAACGTACAGAGCCTGCAGAAACGCACTGCGGGGGCTAACAAACAGAACGGTAGCTGATTGGGTCAGTTTATTCTACCTCAATTGATTTAGTGAGAAAGCGTTCACGCATACAAAATCATACAAATGCATACATCAAATGACATCAAACACATGGGCTCCAGGTGTGGAAAAGTGACCTTGACAGCTGTCTCATCACCCAGTTGTCTCATCACTTTGGGGGTTCCGCCCAGCTTCCCTACCAGCAGATTTTGAGCTCCGAATGCTTTGACGGCAAATCGATTAGGACAACAAGCTGGTAGCAAGGCTAGGGAGAACCAGCAAGCCTCCTGAATTTCCGGAGTTCAACAAGCATCGAAACCCACTGCATCAGGCAAAACCACAAAACCACTGCAGATACATGGATTTCAACTCTGGATCCAACTCTGGCATGACACAGTAAAAAACATGTAAAAAGCGTTTGGGAAACGGCCTAGCAACGGGTGTTCCATGTGAGCTTTCCTCTCCAACCACTGTCCTTGATGCTTGGTGGGTCGTTTGTTGACACCACTCCCAGAGTCTCACACGCCGTGGGCGTGGCCATCATCTTAATTTCAGTCGCTGGAGCTTCCTCTCGCTCTCCTGGCCGTATTTGATGTGTGGCGACGGCGAGGGGACGGCGGCGGTTGATCACACGGGTCAAACAGATAAAGATCAACCTACACTCCGACGAACACATCACATGGAAGTGGAAAACCCCCGGTTTGCAAAGGAAAGTAGTCTTCAAAAGGACCCCAGACGTTCATTCGACGCCGTATTCCACAGTCGCTCGCTGAATCCAGCATCGTCTGTTTTTTTACATCTTCAGCGAATGCTCCCGTTTCAGACCAATTTTCTTGATCTTCTTACCTGCTCCTTTGAGCCTCAGAAGGGACCTGTTCAACACGCTTCGGCTCAAGGTGAACTTGTGAGCATAGCGGCATAGTCCTTGGCCACCAGCATGAAGCACTAGAAAAAAACTAAAGTTGCATCTGGTGTGATATAAAAACTGCAAAATTCACACCTACAGAATTCAAGGGCACCCTGTTGATATCCAAGGTTCCCTTGATGTACTTCATCATATCTTCATCTGCCATACAATGTTCAAAACGGCAATTGTACCCTCAGGTATCAGGCTAGCCCAGCGGAGCTGGGCTTGACATTTTCTTTCCACTTCAGGAGGTTTCATGCTTAGACCATAAGCCAAGGCACTGAATTGTTCCATCTCCAGCAACTGGTGGTGCAGTCCCTTGGGCTAGCTTTAAGGAGCAGATCTAGGAAACACGATTTTTCAAAACTTTCAGATCTAAATCTAAACTTTCTGCCCAACTGGTGTGCAGCTGGAGCACATGGCATTTGGGGATGATTACCCAGCGAAGCACTCCTCGCCTGACAAAGGCAGGAGTGGGCAGGGAGTGAGAGAGAGAGAGAGATTTGTACTCAACATCTATCTAGCCTCAAAGTCTTGTGTGCCAAAGCTTTCCATAGATTGAGGTATGCGTAGCCATGCTTCTTGATAATGCCAGCTTCATTTTCGCTCCTCAACAACTAAACTGTCGCGTGTGGAATGCAGTGTCCCAAGAACCTTGAAAATTGAAGCTTGCCAACAACAAATCTCTCCATATATATATATATTGATTAGTGATATGAATTTGGGACTTAGGAGTGGGCAAATAGCGACCGGCTTTCTCAATCTCCAAGATCATATTGTTTCCAGCCACCCTAGGGATGTGGAATTTCTACACAAGGCACTGTTGGGCTAGCTAAACATCTATGCACACTTGGCAAAGTGATCTACCAATCAAAGCTGCACATTTATATAGTGTTGAGGGCCTGGCAAACAACCAGACATCAAGATATTCTCCTCCGTAGGACTGACCTGTGCTAGGTCTGATGCACACTGTGCCAACCACGCCGCGATGACCCTGCCGTTGTACATCTTACACGTCATCCACGGTTCAGAGCCTTGGTTCAAAACCTGGGGCGGTGGAGGCAGTACAAAAGCATGGGCATATGTACACTCTCAAAGCAATTCATACGCATATGCAGTATCTAGCGTTCATTTGTTTGGTGCAACTGAGTTACAAGTCCTGGTGTGAAGCATTGCTGACTGCATGTGATTCTGTGCTGTTTCTTCCATGCTTGGAAGTGCTGAAATGCAAACTTCAGTGCAGTACCAAATGATGTCGTTGCCTGGCACCAAAAACCAGCCTCCCATAACGCCAGCCTGAATGTGATATTCAGTGCATTCAATTCCAGCTAGGCTGCTGCACTATATGCTGCACTGGAAATCTAAAGGCGCACAGGTGACAGGTAAAGTTAAAAAAGGAATGCATCCTAGCAACATGGCTCCAGCATTGGTACGCTGGAATGTTCCGATATGCACATTGTGTGCAGCACAAAAACGTATCATCCTGTACTCGAAGCCAATGATTCCAACAATTGGACCTGATATGAGACTTGTACATGTCGCTCGGT